TGACAACCTAAATCTCACATTCAGATGTAAAGAGAGTACTAAATCATAACTGTGCTAAAATCTAAATTTTACTGACAGATAATCCTAGTTCGTGGATAGCTTCAGAGATGCTGTGAGTTCAAGGGCCCCTAAAGGTGAGTAAAACACACTCTTGGTCATAAAGTCACTGTCATACACTTAAAATTTATGGCTACTATGCAGAATTTGAGGCATGCACAGGGGCAGTGAATTATTAAATGTGGGTCTTCTATCTAAACCCTCAAACTCCCACTAAACCACTTTTCCCTGCATGAGTCTGCTAAGAAGGTAGGGGAACATATTGATAGGATTCACTATGAGTAATTGCAACTAAGATTCCCTGGGTTGCCATCCTGCTGTGTATATAAGGAGCCCTCTGAGAAGCAGGAGGAGGAATCTCATTACCAACAAGAGGAAGGAGTGGAGTGTGCCTTCTGAACCCAAGATCCCTTTGTAATGAACCTCCTGGATCCAGATGGCAGCTATACCATCAAAAGAGCAGCAGCAGAACCAGCAGCCAGAGCATGGAACACAAGATGGACTTCCCAACCCTCAGAGGAAGTAAAGCCGAGTGTGTCTGTGCAGGAAGCTGGCTTATGGAGTGGGGGGTACCTCTGGGGATTTAATTATGGAAGTTGGATGTGACTTGCTGACCCACAGGAGTGGAGCTGAGTGCCTCTGGGCTAAGGCTCACTGAATTGGTACTTGGCATTCCTCTGAAATACAGCACCTCTAGGCACTTAACTCCAGGAGTTGGGTTTGCTGATCCTTGGAGTTTAAGCTGAATGCTTTCTTGGTTGAGGTTTATAGCAGAGGTATGCACTTCGGGCATTTATTAACATACTAGAGAAAATTTTGTAGCATGTCCCAAACAACAAGTCAACCCTGAGCATTTCTTACTGGCATTACAACTTGTTAACTTCCTTAATAAAGCCTTTAATCATATTGTCTGTGTGTTCTGTGTAGCCACTGCATGCATATTAGAACCTGGAGATAAATTAAGAAACATTAAATAAAGTCAGCACACATGCCAGGAAGAGTACTAACAAGAGTTCAAAAATGGAAAAATTTCTATCTAGCAACAGGACAGATCCTGAACACTTGAATAGGTACCATCGCAGATAGCTTTTGAAAATAGGTGGTGTTTAGAAAAGTGGATTTAGTTCTTAGGAAAGACATTCAGAATTAGGAGAGCAACATGGCTACGGGAAAGAAGTGAGAGATTTATGAAGATTTGGTAGACAATGATTGTTGCCAATGCAGCATAGAACCATTTTCCTCTTTACCTAAAAAAAATCTAAAGCTTCCCAGAAAAAAAAAATCTAAATAATGTGTGTGCATCCTATCCACTTCTAGATGGCCATGTGTTTCAGAACTGATCCTAACTAGAGGGAAGACCTATTAGTACTTGGCTTCATTAGGAGAGAGGCTTCCCACCCTTTTCTATTAGGTGTGAAACAAAGAGAACAGCCATCACTGCTTGAAACCTTGAGCAGAGCAAACGTGCCAGATTGAGACAAAGGTGGCAAAGCACAGACAAAAGTGGATCTCTGAATACATAATTGAACTATATCAGCCACGCCCAGCTCTCACCCAATCTGCGGATTTCCCTGTAAGTCGGTCAATTAATTTTCTTCCTGTTTAAGCTGAAAGGTTTTCTGTTATGAGGAGCTGAAAACAATCTATTAGAATGTGTGTAAGTAGGTAAATAGGACTGCAAAAATGGATGTAAGGTACAATAAAAAAGGGGAGGATGAAAATAAGAGATTAAGTATGTAGAAGTACTACAGATATTAAGCGTTCCTACTTAATTCATGAGGATAGTTCCACTAGAGTTTTGAGCGGGTGATTAAGTTAATTAAAGAGAGTAGTAAAGTGCTGTGACAGACTGTGTGGTTGTCGGGTGCCATCAGGTCAGTTCTGACTCATAGATGCACCATGTACAACATAATGAAGCATCATCACCTGGTCCTGTACCATCTTCACTATTGTTGTGTGTGAGCGTATTGTTACAGCCACTGTGTCAATCCATCTCATTGATGGTCTTGAAATAGGAAAACTAGCTAAAAGGTATTACAAGGCTCTAAATTATTAGCACTGCCTAATAGAACCAGTGATGAGAATATTCTAGCTCTACATTTTCTTATATGTTAACTAATAGTCATAGTCCTATGTGGCTAGTAAGCAATTGAAATGTGGCTGCTGCTACTGAACAAATAAAATGTTAATCCATCTGGATTACCCTACTGTAAATGTTAAAAGCCACAAAGTGGCTAGTAATTACCAAGTAAGAAGTGCAGGTCTACAACATAGACAAAGTAATGAGGAAGTGAGAAAAAGAAAATATTGCTATATGTATAATATTACTGCATCTATAGGAGCTGGAAGGATTCCTAGTGATATGGTGGTTAAAGTGCTCAACTGCCAACCAGAAGACTGGTGGTTTGAATCCACCAGCCACTCTTATATAAGAGAAATATGTGGCCATTTCCTTCAGGAAAGAAAGATTTACTGCCTTGAAAACCAGTTGGGGGCAGTTCTATGCTGTCCTGCGGGATCATTATGAATCTAAATCAATTAATGGCAGTGGGTTTGGTTTGGTTTTGTTTAGGAGTTGCTTATAATAGAGGAGATGAGAATGATAGAGGAGTCACAAATGGCATCATAGTTTGAGGCTGTAATGGATAGAATAAGGAAATAGTTTAGTCAAGAGGCTGACACATGAAAGTTTTCAAAATGAATTTTTTTTTTATACAATCTCCTTCTGTTTGGTGGTGGTTAAGGAATAAGTTAAAAAAATACTCAGTCAAAATTGAACTGAGAGCCTTACCAAGAAATATGACTTAGGGTATTTTCTATGTGAGGCAAAAAAAATTAAACAGCTTTACAACAAATGGCAATAATCACCTGCATACCTGGAATGACTTGATCAAGATACACAGCCAAGAGGACGTAAAATATACTATTAAGCACTAGCATGATCAGAGTAATAATTAGTGGATATGGGCCTTCCGTCAAATTAGAAAACAAAGCACCTTCATTAAAATCCTCTAAGTGCATGACCTAAAAAACAGAAATGTCAACTTTACTATACGAAAATAATAAAAACAAGCAAGTCTATACCATGTAAACGTTTAATTATTCGTTATCTCCAGAATTAATAATAAGTGAAAAAACAAGGCTTTTAACAGGTGAAACAATCTAGTAAATCAGTAATAGGAATGTTCAAGAAAAACAAATATGGAAACAAAAGTTTTTCACAACAATTACTTTTGATCGTGTTTTAAATGCTGTGCATCTTAAGGTGGATGTCTCCATGCCTAGGGCACTTAACTCTCATGCTATGATTGCTACATGAAACAAAAATAAAGTCTAGTGTTAACATGAGCCAGTGTAAACAAAAGGGTTATGAGCCACAGAGAAGCCAAACAAATGTAATACTAGAGATCACATTATGGTTAGCATTTTTCCAATGTTGAAATGATCAGTTATAAATGGAGAACTTTGTGGAGAACTTAAATATGGGGAAAATATAAATGAACGCAGATATAAAATGTGTTCAAATATGATTCCTTTCTCATGTTGAAATTTTAAAACCTTTTTAGGGGGTGGGTGGGAAGAGGTAAGATATATGAGGAAACAAAATGTAGAGCAGGGAAAACCCTCTAAGACAGTTGTACTCTGTCACATGGTCACTATGAGTCAGACTGACTCCACAATCCCTAACAACATATTACATGGAACTGATGATCAAAGAAAATGTTTAGAGAGTGCATGATAAATATATTACCTACCTGTGCAATACCAATCAAAAAGGTACACTGACAAAAGGGACATAGAAGCCATACTAGTGATCTGGGAAAACTTTCCATGAGGACTATCAAAAGACCAACAAATCCAAAAGCCACAGTGACTAAAAATTCCACTATTCCCACATGTTTTGATTTTTTAAAAAGAGGCGTCAGCATTAAAGCAAAAAGCACCTGTAAGATATAAATATTAAGATTAATGTATTGTTCATATACATTGGGCTAAAGATAAACATTTAATTTACATATGAGAACAAGCTATTTATATTTTTAAATGCATGCATTAAAAATCAATTTGAAAATAAGAGATTTTATTCTCATCTAAGTAATACACATAAAAAAACTTAAAATGAGATAAATGAAAAGCTATGTTTTACCTATGAATATAATTAGGCAAATATGGTAAGCTCTACACTATACAACCATTAACAGCCATGTCTTTGCAGTTAGAAAAAAGCATAGCTGAATAAAGCCATAAATTAGAATAAAGCCATAAATTAATGAGTCCTTACCCTGGGGGACGGACAACAGAAAAGTGGGTGAAGGGAGACGTCAGACAGGGCAAGATATGACAAAATAATAATTTATAAATTATCAAGGGTTCATG